AAAAACCCTTTTTAACTCTGGGTACCAGGTATTTTGGTTCAGCAACAAGAAAAGTAACTAAGACAATAACCAACTTGGTAACATAATTCAACCATGTTATTAATTAAAATTACACTGAAATCTGTATGCTAATAAAAGTTATATAAGATAATAAAAGATCTGCAGTTCATGTTGCTAATGTATAAGGAGCATTTTTTTTTCTTCTTTTTTTTTTGCAGAATGAGGGATTGAACTCAGGTCCTTGGCAAGCACTTATTCTACTGAGCTATCTCCCCAGGCCCTATAAGGAACACTTAAATTGAGCTTTTTGTTTGTTTTTGAACTAACTGTAGAATGGTGCACAAATAATAAAAGGCAATTCATACTACACAAAAATTATATAAGAATAAAAATGAACACACCTAAAGTTGATTTTCAAAAAGAGTAGTAAATCATCTCATTCCCTGCTAATCTCAGTATCAGTACCTTCTAGAATGTAAAGGGACCATATATATAAATGTCATAAAAATTAACATACTTTGTGTATGTGTGACATGAAGATTGAACATAGACCGCTGTATATCCTAGACAAGTATTCTACTAAGCAACTATACTCCCAGCCCAATGCTGTATACTCTTATATCCAAAATTTGCCCTTCTAAGAATTTATCCTATATAATCAGACTGTGTCTCAAGGATAAAAGCATCAAAATCCCTTACTTGTACAGCATTATTCATGAACAGAAGTTTTATCAATAAAGACTAAGGGAGGGCCATAAATGGAAATATGCAAAGCCATTTGAAAAATGCCACTGATCTATATAAAATAATCCACACACAAAAAGTTTTAAAATAGGTACAATGGTTTAAAAAACGCATAAGTTTACTTACAGGGAAATAATTCTAGAAGAATAACCAAAATGTTCATAGTGATAGATTGAGATTAGAAGTAATTATTTTTCTAATCTGAATTGTGTAACCTTCCTATATAGAAAATATAGTTAAACTCTTTTTACTAAATTACCCAAGTTTCTGAGTAGATTTTGGTACCAAGGGGCAAGAAACAGATTGTTTAATCTTGTGTCTATAACTTATAAACAATCATGATTTACTTATCAAATTAAATATACAGTATGACTTGAACAGTTTTTCTACTTATATAGCTAAAAAACTAAGAAAATAAAACAAAATATTAGTTGTGATTATCTCTAATAGCAAGATTATGTATTAGTCTGCTTCCCTGTTGCTGGGATACAATACCCAACAACCATAACATAAAGGAGAGATTTAATTTGGTTTATGGTTTCAGAGAATCAAAGAATTCAGTCCATGGTCAGTAGGCTCTAAGGCAGAAACACAATGATAGAAGGGCACAGCAGAGCAAAATTGCTTAGCTTATGTCAGCTAGGAAGCCTAGGAGGACAATAATTCCTGAGACAGGGACCACGAACCATAAATACTACATAAGGCCAGGCAGGCATTCAAGACCCAATCAGATAATAACCAAAAGTATAATTTACTAATCTGCTAGGTGCCTCTTAATCCAATTAAGCTGGCATACCATAATTAATGCTCACAGATTAATTATTGGGATTTTCATCTTTATGCTTATACTCTACTTTTTTAGCAGAGAAAACATTTATTTATATATCTATTGAACATACATTGTTATAATCATGTTGAGGACATGTAAAACCGGTATTAAGAAAATTTTAAGAATTTATCCTTTAAAAACACATATTAGAAGTATTATCAAATGTAAGACTGTACCTCTCAGGTCCTTTGAGAGTGCAGCTGGTTAACTGCTTCAGGTAAAACTAAATGCAAGGGAATACCCTACTTTTAAGATAACAAAATCATGGTCTTTAAAAAATTATAAATGTATGTAGGGACTTAAAGTTCAACATATCAATACTTGATGAAAAGTACCTGTTCCTTATTATGCCTAAGATGTTTGATATGCAGAGA